CCTTGTATCAAAGGTTCAGGCTGGTGGTGGTGGTGTCATGGTGTGGTGGATCCATCCTGCCTTGTATCAAAGGTTCAGGCTGGTGGTGGTGGTGTCATGGTGTGGTGGATCCATCCTGCCTTGTATCAATGGTTCAGGCTGGTGGTGTCATGGTGTGGTGGATCCATCCTGCCTTGTATCAACGGTTCAGGCTGGTGGTGGTGGTGTCATGGTGTGGTGGATCCATCCTGCCTTGTATCAACGGTTCAGGCTGGTGGTGTCATGGTGTGGTGGATCCATCCTGCCTCTTATTAATGGTTCAGGCTGGTGGTGTGATGGTGTGGTGGATCCATCCTGCCTTGTATCAACGGTTCAGGCTGGTGGTGGTGGTGTCATGGTGTGGTGGATCCATCCTGCCTTGTATTAACGGTTCAGGCTGGTGGTGTCATGGTGTGGTGGATCCATCCTGCCTTGTATTAACGGTTCAGGCTGGTGGTGTAATGGTCTGGGGGATATCTTCTTGGAACACTTTAGGCCCCTTAGTACCAACTGAGCATCGTTTAAATGTCACGGACTACCTGAGTATTGTTGCTGGCCATGTCCATCCCTTTATGACTCCAGTGTACCCATCTTTTGATGGCTCCTTCCAGCAGGATAATGCATCATGTCACAAAGCACAACATTATCACAAACTAGTTTCTTGAACATTGCAATTAGTTCACTGAACTCCAATGGCATCCACAGTCACCAGATCTCCATCCAATAGAGCACCTTTGGGATGTGGTGGAATGGGAGATTCCCATCATGGATGTGCAGCCAAAAAACCTGCAGCAACTGTATGACGCTATCATGTCAATACGGACCAAAATCTCTGAGAAATGTTTCCAACACCTTGTTGGATCTATGCTATGAAGAATTAAGGCAGTTCTGAAGGCAAAAAGGGGTCAAACCTGGGACTAGCAAGGTATACATAATAAAGTGGCCGGTGAGTGTATACAGCACCATCAATTTACGCAGCGCTTTACATATTTCATATAGTGTACATTCACATCAGTCCCTAACCCTCAAGGAGCGTACAATCTACAGTCCCTAACTCACATTCATACATACTCATACTAGGACCAATATATACAGAAGCCAATTAACCTATCAGCATGTCTTTGGAATGTGAGAGAAAATGCACGCAGGCACAGGGAGAACATGCAAACTCCATGCAGGTAGTGCCGTGGTTCAGATTCAAACCAACAACCCAAGTACTACCAAGTGGAAGTGCTAACCACTTAGCCACTCTGCTGCCCATGAGTTTAAAAAAAAAATAAAATATACAGTGCTTGAGTGGATCCAAGGATCCCATTTTGTCTGGAAATCATCGATTTTATAAATTTAAAACAGTTAAAAGATTATTACTATTGATTATCCAGTTTTATTTTTTATGCTACTAATCAAAAACAGTTGGCAGTGAGTTCCATGAGCTATCTATGGTAATTTTGGCCTCAAGAAAAATGTAATAAGTTCATATATACAAAACTTAACAACTTATATATACAAAACTTAGTTAACAGCTAAATTCAATTTTCAAACCCTTACCGTAATACACAAATAAAAAATACAAAACCACCAAACATTCCCGTCAGTATTTTTGAATGATATTCTCCCAAAGCAAGCATTTGTTTTCCACAATGCTACCATTATTCTGTGGGGTACATTCAAGAACACTAGAGGCGTCTGCTTTCTCTGTGATTTATCTCTCCATCAGATTGTTTTACTAATCATTTTTTTTTCTCTCTCTTTCACAAATATATAAAAGCAAGTAACACTTCTGTTTATAAAAAGTAACCATTTGACTCTCCAGGTTGATTCTGCTTTGCCTACCTAAGACTGGTGCCTATGGTTTGGCTATGTTGCCCGTTGTAACATAAATGCTCCAAGCTAGGTAGTTGAGCTGTTTATTTGTTCCCTTTTGCCACTTTGTTGTTTAAAATGTGTTATTTACATGACTGCACCAGAAATGATGTAGCTTTTCATCAATTAAATTTTATCCATCTTGTATTTCATTGTATTGTAACTGTATTGTCTCCCTCTTTATTATAAAGTGCTGCTCAAACTGTTCATTCATTGTCTCATGCTTTCTTTAAATTTTAACTATAGGATGCATTTCCCTTACCTTTAAATATTACCATTTTTTAGTCTAGGTCAGTGGCCCTTTGCTTCCTTTTATCTGACCCGCAGGGCACTTTTCCTACCACAGATACAAGACACTATTTCTTTCCTCCCATCAACAATGGGGCATAATTACTGCTACTGACATCAACAATGAGGCATTATTTCTGCCATTGACACCAACAATGGGGCACTATTCCTACCACTGATACCAATGATGGGGTACTATTCCTCCCACTGACACCAATGATGGGGCACTATTCCTCCCACTGACACCAATGATGGAGCACTATTCCTCCAACTGCCACCAACAATGGGGCACTATTCCTACCACTGATATCAATGATGGGGCACTATTCCTACCACTAATACTAATGATGGGACACTATTCCTCCCACTGATACCAATGATGGGGCACTATTCCTCCCACTGACAATAATAATGGGGCACTACTCCTCCCACTGATACCAATGATGGGGCACTATTCCTCCCACTGACACCAATGATGGAGCACTATTCCTCCAACTGCCACCAACAATGGGGCACTATTCCTACCACTGATATCAATGATGGGGCACTATTCCTCCCACTGACACCAATGATGGGGCACTATTCCTCCCACTGACACCAATGATGGGGCACTATTCCTCCCACTAATACTAATGATGGGGCACTATTCCTCCCACTAATACTAATGATGGGGCACTATTCCTCCCACTGATACCAATGATGGGGCACTATTCCTCCCACTAATACTAATGATGGGGCACTATTCCTCCCACTGATACCAATGATGGGGCACTATTCCTCCCACTGATACCAATGATGGGGCACTATTCCTCCCACTGACAATAATAATGGGGCACTACTCCTCCCACTGATACCAATGATGGGGCACTATTCCTCCCACTGATACCAATGATGGGGCACTATTCCTCCCACTGATACCAATGATGGGGCACTATTCCTCCCACTGATACCAATGATGGGGCACTATTCCTCCTACTGACATCAATGATGGGGCACTATTCCTTCCACTGACACCAATGATGGGGCACTATTCCTCCCACTGATACCAATGATGGGGCACTATTCCTCCCACTGATACCAACAATGGAGCACAATTCCTCCCACTGATACCAACGATGGGGCACTATTCCTCCCACTGATACCAGCGATGGGGCACTATTCCTCCCACTGCTACCAATGATGGGGCACTATTTCTCCCACTGATACCAACGATGGGGCACTATTCCTCTCACTGATACCAACGATGGGGCACTATTCCTCCCACTGATACCAATGATGGGGCACTATTCCTCCCACTGATACCAACGATGGGGCACTATTCCTCCCACTGATACCAATGATAGGGCACTATTCCTCCCACTGACACCAATAATGGGGCACTATTCCTCCCACTGACACCAATGATGGGGCACTATTCCTCCCACTGACACCAATGATGGGGCACTATTTCTCCCACTGATACCAATTATGGGGCACTATTCCTCCCACTGATACCAATGATGGGACACTATTCCTCCCACTGATACCAATGATGGGGCACTATTCCTCCCACTGATACCAATGATGGGGCACTATTCCTCCCACTGACACCAACGATGGGACACTATTCCTCCCACTGATACCAATGATGGGCACTATCCCTCCCATTGATACCAATGATGTCTACAATCATCCACCCTGAATGGGAGTGAACAAATGTACTTCAGGTGCAGCAGACACCATGCTTTCCATGCAGTTTGCTCAGAGCAGCAACGTCCTTTGAGAACATTGATTTAACATGAAGCAATATGAATTTGGAAACTGCATAATTTATCACAATAACACTACTAACAGAATTTTACATATTTCATTTAAACAAGATGTTCTTTTTTGTGAACAAAGGCATCTTTTTCTGTTGTGTGCATAATTTGGAAATAAATTATTAGGTCTTTGCAGTATTTTGGAAATAAGGCTTCTATGCTTTCCTAAAAAAAGAGATTGTTTCCAGTGAAGTACATTTCTTGTCTTTGTATGTGTTTTGATACCTTGTTAATATCAATTGATTTTATATTATTTTCCATAAAGACAAAGGTTCTTGTAGGTTCTTGTAGAAAGTAGTCATTTCTAGGTCATCTATATGTATAAAAAAAAAAATCAACATAAAATAATTATTTAAAGTGTTGTCTCTTCTGGAATTATTTTCAATTGGCAACAACAACAAACAGACAAAATTCAATCAATTAATAGGTCCCTCAGGGGTCTCTCTGTTGTTAGGCATTATGTATAAAAAAGGCATTAGCCTCCAACCTTCACAATGTACTATAATCTCTTGCGATTATCACCTTTTGTTGGCGTCAATAAACACCAATAAGGTAGCTATGTTTTTATACACATTTAATAGTTGATTAAATTACTCCATTTTATTTAATGTGACCTATGAGTAGATGCCCCCATATTTTTTTGTCAACTTTAAATTACTTTAAGGAAAAAAATGAACACAGGTTTTATGCATTAGATTAATACTAGAGTCAAATTGGCTCTAATTTATGTGAAGCTTTAAACTTCTAGGTGTGGTTGCACGTATTTTTTGCACAGCATATACATGCGTTAATTCATTATAAGACATTATAAAACATGTTTTTATATCAGAATTTATACTATTTTTCTGAAAGGATAAAAAGGTAGAAACAAGAGAGAAGGAAATAAATAAGCTGTAAATGAGTGTGACAATGGAGCTGATTTACTAAAACTGGAGAGTGCAAAATCTGGTGCAGCTCTGCACAGAAACCAAGCTGATTGGCTACAATACATACCTCAGATTGTGCACTCTACTGTTTTAGTAAATGGCAAGAAGTACTAGATCTGACCAGGGGTGGACTGACCATTTGGAAACTCGGTCACTGCCCGAGGGCCCGGGGTCAGTAGGGGGCCCCATGAGATGCCCCTGGTACCTTTTTCATAGGCTTTTTTGAGTTTGGGCAAGGACACAGGGGCCCCATGATCCCCTATTGCCCGGGGGCCCCATGAGTTGTCAGTCCGCCCCTGATAGTGAGGGGCATAGCTCCAGACTGAGGGTATGTATCATGGCCATTTATATTTTGTGCTCTGTCTAAGGGACCTATTTTATTAAAACAAAATGCCTGGAAGTATGCTTTGAACCTACTGGATCACCACGGCAGCCAGGGAACTAGCATTGCAGAAGGAGAGATAAGCAGTGAAAGGCTACTTATGTATTTCAGCACTGGTTTCATGTAAATGTTACACTGATGTCTCTGAACAATACACTGCTACAAAATTAAATATTTCTAAAAATAATACATTGATAGAAACATATCACAAACATAATTCCAAAGAGATCTTGATTACTCCCTATGGAAACTTTAATCTGCACAAAGAAATATATACATTTTTGTGTGCAAAAGAGGGTCTTATTTGGTCAATGGGGCTTATCCACCGACACACATCATGTGTTTAACACTTACAAAAGATATATAATATACTTATTTCTCTCTTTTTCTTCTGTTTCATTTAATTTATGACCTCATACACGTATGCTTTTTTTTCAATCTTAAATAGAAATCATGCTGGGTGCCATTCTACCTGGCAGACTGGTGACATCATACAGCAAAAAATAGGTAGTGAGCATGGGCGGACTGACCATTTGGAAACTCGGTCACTGCCCGAGGGCCCGGGGTCAGTAGGTGGCCCCATGAGATGCCCCTGGTACCTTTTTCATAGGCTTTTCTGAGTTTGGGCAAGGTCACAGGGGCCCCCATGATCCCCTATTGCCCGGGGACCCCATGAGTTGTCAGTCCGCCCCTGGATCTGACTTTATTTATCTTTAAGTTACATTCCAGAAGCATTGACTAGCAATAAAATCCAATAGAACCCAATCGAATCCAATAATTTTGAGTCCTAATCAGAGCAGGATGGGACAGAATATCTTCCAGTGGGGACCCCCACTTCTTTGACATCTCTCTTAAGCCACCCAAGCAGGGATCGCCACTGGAGGATTTTCGGTCTCCTCCTGCAGTGTACCAATGACAACTCCAATTTGTTGGATTTCTTCTCTCATTCTGTCTTGGTAAAATTTTGATTTTGGATTTACGTTGATTTTGGATTGATTTCCTGATTATGACTTCAGGACAGGAAGTATAGAGATATCTCATTAGTGGGACACAGACGGCAAAAAATAACTAGATTTTAACCCTTTCACACTTAATCTAAAATTAAATAAGAAACGTTTTGGCCTTACATATGCTATAAGTATGAAAGATGCCAAAACTCAACTTATTAATAATAGATGACAAGTGAAACACTGATAAGACCAAAATCCAAGAATACGGGTTAAGTCTCCAAATGAATACCTATGAGTGATAAATAGTTAGGACTCATTATCAATATTTAAAAAATCTTATGAAGAAATACATTTGGCTGTGGCTTTAACAAACAGTTATCAAGTCTTTATTTAGAGTTTAGTAAGTGTTGCATGGAGTGTAATACAAGGGCCATCAATGCTGGAGCCGAGGAGGGGTTAAAGTGAGTAAAAAAATTCTTACGTCCTGTAAATGGATGCTGAATGCAGAACACCTCAACAGCATTAACATGGGAAATATCTGTGAATTATATCCTTAGAGTTTAAAGTTTTTTAGCCCTGGGTATAAATTGGAATTATTTATTTATTTCAGGTACTTATACAGCGCCATCAATTTACGCAGCGATTTACATATATATTGTACATTCACATCAGTCCCTACCCCTCAAGGGGTGTACAATCTAAGGTCCCCAATTCACATTCATACATACACATACTAGGGCCGATTTAGACAGGAGCCAATTAGCCTACCAGCATGTCTTTGGAGGAAACCGGAGTACCCGGAGGAAACCCATGCAGGCACAGGGAGAGCATGCAAACTCCAGGCAGGTGGTGCCGTGGCTGGGATTTGAACCAATAACCCTAGTACTGCCAGGTGGAAGTGCTAACCATTTAGCTACTGTGCTGGATTAGACCCCGTTCAAGTTTTACTGCTATCTCTGGAGCTCCATATAAGAGATTTACCAATAATAATTGTTTAAAATGTACATTCACCTTCACAAAAAATCTATAAGGTGACCTTACACTGGATCCCCTCCCCATCCCTCCTGGTCACGCTGTACCAGTGTCCTTGTGATCCCCTACTGTCAGGCACCGAGACAACACTTCTCTGGTCCAAGGATTTTAAATCCCTGTGGCTTTCTTTTCTCCTTGCAGACAGGATGGGCTAGATGGATTCTGAATGGTCAACGCCATCCATGCAAAGGTGCTGACCAACTAGAAAGGCTCTTGTCCATACATACCGGTACGGATAGGGGTGAAGCAGCGTTCCGGTGCTTGACAATGGGGGATCACGGGACTGGGGGGGATTGGGAAGGGGGTCCAGTGTAAGATCACCTTACAGATCATCTGTAAAGGTGAAGTTACACTTTAATGACAAACATTTCATTAGACATGAAATGGGGGGACAATCTGCAGCAGGGCCACATCCAGCAATAAACAGTTGAGAATGTTTCTACCCTTTGTGATATAAGGTACCCCGAGAACATCAGTCAGCCATGCTGATAAAATCAAACAGTCCTTTTATTTTCAAAAGCAGACAAACAAAATAACACATCTTATCCTCAGCAAACAAAGAACACAAAATAGTCCATACTCTGGCTCAGAATTGCCAAATGAGTTAAAGGTGCCCCGCCACCATACCAGTGCCCCTCTGTGATTTTGGGTTTTTCGTTGATTTCATTGGTTCCAAGAAGGAGGTTTTCATAGGCCAGCCACTGTTGCTCAGTCCTAAGCTCAGTTCACACAGGTGTCCAGGCTACTCTCTAACTCTCCACAGCTGTCTGTTTTATCTTTCTTTTCTGGACTCGGAGGCACCTGGGTAACCCCTACAGGGCCAAAGTCCTGATAATCAGGGTTTGAGGTTCTTCCCACCCAAAACTCTTCAAACCTCTAAAATTCCATGTCCCTAATTCAGGCTTAGCAATCCTGAGAGTACTAAAAACCAGTCCTCTCCACTCCAGCCAGACTACCCTGAAACTCCACATCCTCCATTGGTAATAACCCTTGAATACTCAACAATGTCTTTAAATTTCCTCCCCTAACTCAAATACTGGTGAAATATACTCAACATCCAGGACATACTCCCAGTGTCCTGTACACCTTCCATTACTAGAAAGGTACATATTCATTTGTCTTTTGCTGTATCTGTTGGAGAGTTCCCCTATCTTGTTTCCTGTCCAGTAAAAAAACAGGACAAGAAATGGGGACACATTTCACTAACAGAGCCCTAGAAAGAAGAAAGCATTAAATATAGGTTCACATCCTACATTATTTTATCCAAAACAAAAACTTTTCCGCTGCATACAATTGAGCCCTCCATTATAAATCTCCCGGTCTATAACATACTCACTATAAAAATTGTTTTTTTTTATAAAATGTAAAAATGTTGCATTATTTAATGACATTGGTATAAACGTTTTGATTAACCGTGTGTGTTTCTTATATCACCACAGTAAATTCAGATAATGTTGGAAAACCAGACAGAAGTCATGGAATTTTTAGTACTTGGGTTTTCAGATCTTCACCTATTTCAGATACCAGTCTTCCTGCTGTTCACCATGATTTACACCACAACAGTAGCTGGAAATATCCTCATAATCATTTTGGTATTATTTAGCCATACTTTGCATAGTCCCATGTATTTCTTCCTCAGTCATCTTTCAGTGTGTGACATTTTAATCAGCACGAATGTTGTCCCCTGTGCACTCCAGACTTTACTAGATGGTTTCACCTATATGTCAGTTCAAAGATGCTTCGTCCAGTTGTATTTTTTTGGTGCTTCTGCAATCATAGAATGTTGTCTCCTTTCTGTGATGTCCTATGACCGGTATTTGGCCATCTGTAACCCATTGCACTATTCCTCCATCATGGCTTTCCGTCTTCATTATTATCTTGCTACGTGGTCTTGGTCAATGGGTTTTTATGGTAGCCATTATCACCATTTTCCTTCTACTCGAAGTTAAATTTTGTGGTTCGAATATCATCGACCATTTCTTTTGTGACCTTTCTCCTCTGTTGGGGATCTCCTGTTCAGATTCGTCAGCTGTGGAAATAGCAGTGTCCTTAGTGGCTGGGGTAATAGGCCTCTTACAGTTTTTGTTTGTTATTGCTACTTACATCTGCATTTTCAACGCCATCTTCCAGATTTCAACCACAGTTGGGAGACAGAAAGCCTTTTCCACCTGCAGTGCTCATTTGTCTGTTGTATGTACATATTATGGATCACTTATTTCTGTTAATATGGTGCCATCCAAAGGGTATTCTTTAAATATAAAGAAAGCTTTATCAGTTCTAAACACTGTATTGACCCCATTATTCAACCCCATCATATACAGCTTGAGGAACAAAGACATACAGGAAGCTCTACGCCAAGTCATGTTTTCAAGAAAACATTTAAAAAAGAGTTAATATTCCGTTATAAGATAATCCTCCAGCTAAGTATTGTATTCATATGTACTTAATGGAGCTCTTTAAAGTAATGTTTAATATTTTTTTTTTGTATACGGTGTATGTTTACAAAAAATCATTTCAAGTAAAGTATCTCCATGATGCAATCACAGCAGAGCATTCTGGAAGAAAGACCACCACAAGCTTTGTATTTGTTGAAATGCCTTAAAAAATAAATGCATGCAATTTTGCTAACAAGAGAAAAAGAATACTCCATTCCATTGTTACTATGATCCTGGCAACCATTCATAATAAGGGTGATTTTTGGAGGAACCTCTTGATCCCAACAATTGGATACCTTTATGATCAGGCTAATTAAAGGCTTTGTTCTGGTGAGTGAACACCTGAGAGGGGGTGCATGACGGGCACAGCATGTGGTTTCAACGTATTGATATATTTTCACTGGAAATTATTTTAACCACTTGCTGTCTGCCTGCTGTTTATAAACAGCAGACCGGTGGCACTCCAGGGGCAGGTTGCTGTTCATAAACGGCACCCGCATTTTCTAGCTGTGCACGCTCCCTGGGAGTGCGCAGCACCGCGATCCGGTGCCCGCTGTGTCCTCCTCTGTGCGAGGTCCCGATTATGTGATCACTCGTTTGCCCAATCAGTGATCACATGCAGAGTAGTAAGCAAGATGTCACCTGTGACATCATTGCTTACTACGTGTGAAATCTGAGAATGATCACAGAGGTCACATGGTACAGGGCTATTCATAACAGCCTTGTACCATGTGACAAGCTGTGACCAATCACAGATCACACCGTAGAAGAATGCAGCCAGAGAGAAGGAGAAATTATTCCTCTTACAGCCTTTATGGGTGTAAAAGCAATCAGTGTAAAAAGAAAAAAAATCTTCATCACCCCCCACAAGTAGTACAGTGTCACCATGGTGAAACTGTACTGCTAGGGTGACAGTATGTAAAAAAAATATATAAATAATAATAGAAAACAATTTATAAAAATGTAAAAAAATTTTTAAAAAATTATAATTTTTGGTTATAAACTAATTTGGGTTATTTTTTTTTTTTTTTTTACTAAAAAGATAACGGAATCAATTTTGGCCGAGATTTATGATGAAATACTATTTATTTGCAAAATGTTATACGAAAAACACATTTTTTCAAAATTTTTGGACTTTTTCATTTACATAGCAAAAAAAATAAAAATCCCAGCGGTGAATAAAAACCACCAAAATAAAGTTTTATCTGTCTCATATGGGTACAGTGTTGCATGACCGCGCAATTGTCATTCAAAGTGTGATAGTGCTGAAAGCTGAAAATTGGCCTGGGCAGGAAGGGGGGGAGGGGAAGTGTCCGGACTGGAAGGAGGTGAAAGTGTCCGGACTGGAAGGGGGTGAAAGTGTGCGGACTGGAAGGGGGTGAAAGTGTCCAGACTGGAAGGGGGTGAAAGT